ATATGGTTCATGGGGTCACGAAGAGTCGGACACGACTTAACGACTGAACAACAACAAATATTTATGTGGAAGGACATGACTGAGGAAGTCAATGAGATATGCGTTATTAAGACAGATATTATATTCAGATGATTATAAAAGGCAAAAGCAACTTCAGCTATCCAAAATGAACTCCAGATGGTTTTCTGTTCACCGTGGCTTTTCTGTGTTGATATTGGACTTAAGACAGGCTGTCCTAGATGATGTCATAATATATTCCAGCCTTTCCTGGACCACGTTATATTGTACTGCCCCTACTTTGTTGATGCTCAGCAGGAGTTGCTGTCTTCATTTCTAGTTAAACATCTGGGTCACTCTGACTGTATTTACCTCCAATTGATACTATCTGATTGGTCTGACTCTGCCTTATTAAATGTTGCTAACTATTGCTCCACTGTTTGTACAATAGGCTGCCATCTATCTTTAACCAGCTCTCAAATACTCCTTGTTGGTTCTGTTGATGACTTATTTTAGTTGTTTATACAGCTGATTATCTATACCTAGGTATGATATCAATATATACTTTTATTGCCCTTTAGTATCTTCCTTGTATTTGGGAACTATATTTTTTACTTGGAATTCATTTATGTTGATCTGTGACCATAATAGATAAATTCTATTCTATTCTATTCTATTCTATTCTATTCTATTCTATTCTATTCTATTCTATTCTATTCTATTCTATTCTATTCTATTCTATTCTATTCTCTATACCAGCCTTTCCAAATTGGTGCCCTCTAGAAGTGAAGGGTTACAATCCAACATATCTGGAGGGCGCCAGTGTGGAAAAGGCTGTTGTACATTCATACTGACAATACGATGAACAATCACAATAAAGGAAGGTCAACTTTGAACCCTAAAATAAGAAAAAAAGGGTTTGAAAGGTAAGACAATATCAGAAATCTTAAAGCCAAAGCAGGGACACCTCAGTACAGCCAGAAGCCCTGTGAAGGTGACTGTTGATTAACAGAATACAATCATGGTGGAAAGTCAAGGGTTCATAGAGCAATAATTCTCTGCACTCTAGTTCTAAGGGTATTTTCTTCAATTTGGCAGGGCAAATTAGCAAACTGTAGCAATACTAACATGGACTGCTAAAGGAAGCTGTCTGCATTTGTTCAGCCAAATTTCATTCAGCCAATTTTATTTGGTTACACTGGCTGTATCAAAAGACATATACGAGAGAGAGCAACTTGGTCCCTCTTTATGCCCACAAATTTTACCATCACTTACTACGTCTTGGCCATGCTGGCTGTGGCTGGTGGAATCTAAAGCCCTGAATACCTCAGGGAAATTGAGTTCCCAACTTCTGGCACTTATTATAAAGTGGCTTCAAGGAAATAGTTCACAAACAAGTGATCTGCGGGGTGCCCAAATCATTTTTATTCCAAGGTATAGGGAAAGATAAATTCACACATACTAAAATAATACGAAAATGATATTGTACCTGGAATATATTTGAGAGGTCCCGGAGATTGAAAACATAATGAAATTTTATGGCCGTAGGAAGAAATGTTGATGAAATTTTCTGATGTAAACCTGTTATGGAGAAACATATCATACTCACATCAGAAAAGAAAGCATGGAGTTGCTTGGGATAAGAAACAGGCTATTCATTATTAATTCTTCAGTGAAGATCAACAAGAAGCAATGAAATGGGTTAATCTGCAAATTGTTTAATTAAATGCATAGGACCCCTGAAAAGCCTTGACAGTTCTACAACTCTTTTACTTCAATACATTTCATTTTAAACTATGATAGAAATCAGGTTTGAAAAGGTACAGCAGAGGTTATCTAATTAGAACTGGGGTTGGGGGATACATAACACCTATGCCCTCACCTAACTAGAACAATCTGACAATGCTATGTGGAACTCCAAAAAAACAAAAAACACCTGAATCACAAAAGATGGCAGTTCCAAAGAAAAATGATAATGATATCGCAGCACCCAAGGCAGGAAGTGCCTGTGACAATCATGCCAGGCAAAATTCCATCACAATTATTCAAGTAGCTGTAACTTTTTTCCCAGGCAAAGATATATTATAGGTCAAATGTTGGGATGCCCCATTTCCCAAACATTTGCAGAAAGAGATCTGAATCAATCATCTTGCAGGTTATAGATATGAATAAGATGTAGAGAGGTAGAACATTAACGGAAAAGCTGGCTTTAGTTCATGCTACTTACCCAGAGCTGCAGAAACGAGCTGCACATTAATCTTCTGGACGACCATCGAGACATTCCGAAGGGCCAGGTGCTGACCCAAGATAGTACTGTAGATGCTCATTAGGGCATCCTGACCTGGGAAACTCACCGCAAATACACAGAAATGTCTCTAAAACAAAAACAGTTTACAAGAACTTGCAATGATAGATGATCCACTTAACAAAAAAACCTCAAAACTTGGACCTCCCACTTTTTCTGCTTTCAGTTAAGAGCAGTGAAAATCTAAAGAAGCAACCACTGTAATGTAAAGGAGAGTTTCTTTTATCTTTGACTGAAATCTCCAAAGTATCATGTCTCCCTCTATTAGGTACCTGGAGCCTGGAATCAATAGTGAAGGATCCAGCTGTTGGGTTCATACAGGCAACATATTGGCAGTTGTGGATATCCTTTAAGGTCAGCTTGCTTCTATCATACCTAATGGAAAGAAGCAAGTTGGAGGGAATTATGTTAACGAAATATTTTTGAGGAAACTATGCCCCACTATTCCCTTACATTTAAGGTAGTCTTCCTGTCTTTTATACAAAGAGGCCAAAGAATGAAGAGTTCTGATCTCTTTTCATTAAAAGAGCACAAACAAGATTTAAATAATACATCTATCAGTGGTCTTTGAAAATGTCTAGCTTAATCTACATGTAGTAGACAAGATGGCTAATTTCTTTAAACATGCAGGCATCATATTCATAGCACAGCATTCAGACCATATCTTCTCTATAATAAGAACAGATTTCTAGTAGAAAACAGGATCTAACCTTAATCTAACTAAATCTAACTAACTAAAAGTTTAGTTGCTTTTTTTGCATGAGGTTCTCTGTGAGCCCATCTAATATCCATGTCACATAGTAATTATCAATGACAAGATGCATTAATACCAATGCCCATGATCCATGTGCTGCCGGATCAAGGTGTGAGGAGCCACAGTGCCGTATTTGTCAACTTCTGGCATGTTCATATCATCTATGAAGTAAATCAGCTTCTTGGTACCAGAGGGGCCAAAATTCCTTCCTGATTTCTTCTCCAGAGGCTTCTCGAGAATAGCTGTGCAAACAGAAGACCACTAATCAGCAGATGACACTGGACCTTATCTAAATGATCTGGTCACATGTCCTCCAATCTCATCCACCCGTTCAAAAGTAAAAGCTGGTCATGTGATGTTCATGAGAAAGGCAGCTTTTCTTCAGTGAATCAAAGTCTTGCAGAGGAGGCAGGTAACCTATGTGATAACTGAAATTGCTACCTTGAATGCCAAGAACAAGAAGCCCAGTATCAGTTTCATCTGTACAGGCATACCAGTGAAAAGATCTTTTCTCACAACCTGTCTAGGATACATATATGCACATGCTGTGCTGAACAATGGCAGTGGAAAACAGCAGACTTACAGTAGCAGTCTCCTTCACAAAGAGCAAGTATTCAGTAGAGTAGGGACAGGCAACCTGCTGCTTTCTTGATGTTTTGGAGTACTACTCCCATTAGGTAGTCAGCGTCACCAATAGACAGAGATGGAGGGATTTGTAGTCCAATTCATCAGGAGGGAACAAAATTAAGGAATGCCACAGCATTAGCAGCATAGGTAAGCAAACTCTACAGATGTTGGCTTGTTTATGTCAGTGAGGGAACCCTTTTTTCAGGGTTTAAGATCACACACCTAAGACTGCATTTATACTGAAGAGATATTCATTGGCCTGAAGGTCATACTTTTTTTTTTCCTTTTGGGGAATGGTCCTGGTTTAGCTCTGGCAAAGCCAGAACAAAATCTAAACTTGATTTCATTTAATAGGTATTTAAAATAAAAGTTTAATACAATGTCCATGCATTTTAAATTTTTAATATTGTTTTTATTGCTGTAATGTACAACAGGAAAAAGAAAAAAATACCTACAAGATACAAAACCATTTAAAAAAAAAACCAAACAGAAAACAAGAAGAAAAAACAAAGGTGCAGCCCCCCCCAAAATAAATAAATAAAAAAGCCATGCACACTCTCCACAATAAATATATAAAAGCATCTCAGTTCTTGAGCAACAAATTAAACCTTGACAACACGGAATCATACTGATCAATTTTTCTAATGCACCAATAAACAGCCAATTCAAAGGCGAAGTGTAAACACATCACTTCAACTCAGGGTTTTAAGTCCGGAGTGATGATTTCTTTCTAATGGTACAAAATGATCATTTAGTAATACTTCAAGCTCTGCTAGTCAAAAGTTCTTCATAAATGTCATGTTTTTGATATATAATTCAGCATCACATTAACATCTTTAAACCTCATTTCTCTTCCCAAATAACAATAATTTGAACATTAAATCAAAACCAGACAACCATCAGGAAAGCCCAAATCATGTGTCCACTGAAACACATTACCTCTCCAGCAAAAAAGGGTAACAATTAAACACCCACTGAAGTGCCCAATAAAATATGAAAAAAATCATTTGATGAATTAATCTCATCAAGCTCATTTTTAACATTCTTTAAAACCAAAGATTATTGATTTATTAAAGTACGATAATCCAACTTGGTATTGTTCTTGCAAATTATTAATATCTATTTTAATAATAAAACAATAATACACTTGTAAATAGAAATAAACTTCAAAAATACTTTCCAATATTATACTTTCCAGTTCAAAAATGCTGCTGCTTGCTACAGGTCTAAACTGAGAAATCATGTTTTAACTGAAAATATTGTCATTCAGCAGTTTTAGGTAATTCAAATTCTTCTTGAAATATATCGTTTGTTTTGGAGGAATGATTAACAAAAAGCTGGTCTTAAATATTAATATCAGTTTTTGTCCAAGTACTAAAAAAAAAAGTACCTGCAATTTAAAAATTGGCTGAATATTGCCTAAAAGAAGAATCAAGCTCCTGCCAAAATATCAAGTAATAACTGCCAAGGTGTCAAACCTATATAAAAATAAATAATTTGGGTTCTGCAAAAAAAATAGATGTCAAAATACAAAGTTGGTAAAGTTGAAACTTTGGAAAATTAAGATCCCCTCTTTCTATGGAAGTTACAGTTTAAGTAACAGAAACCCAGGGGCCTGTCTAGAGAGTCGATTTGGTGTAGTGGCTAAGGTGAGATGTAAATCTAATAAATAAGCAATTAGCAATCATTGACTTATATGTGAAAAAAAGCTGGATAGAAAATCAAATACCATTATTTGACTTGGATTATTGCATGCAAAATACCAAAAAAAAAAAAAAAGGCTAACATTCTGTACGAGAGCCAGTTTGGTGTAGTGGTGAAGTCATCAGGCTAGAAACCTGGAGACCATCAGTTCTAGTCCTGCCTTAGGTACAAAGCCAGCTGGGTGACCTTGGGCCAGTCCCTTTCTCTCAGCCCTAGGAAGGAGGCAAGGAAGGAAAAACCACTTCTGAAAATCCTTGCCAAGAAAGCTGCAGGGACTAGTCCAGGCAGTCCCCAGGAGTCAAAAACAAACAAACAAAACAATCTGTAACCAATTGCATAGTATAATTCAAACCAGTGTGTTTATGAATATTGTGGAATACTAATGTACAGAATGTTAGCCTTTTTTTTTTTTTTTTTGG